TGGATCTGGACACAGCATACTTTTTGCTTTTGGCTGAACTGTGGTTACTTACGACCATGCTCCTTGAGAGGCCACGGCGCCAGTTGGTCCCTGAGGGGCGCCCTGTTCCTGTCGGCTGATGCCGTCGCCAGTTTCGAAGTTGAAGTTGTAGTTTCCGAACTCATCGGGTCCCTGACGGTCGTCCCTGAGGATGGGAACCACAGGCCCGGAGGAGCCGCTGTACCTTCCAGCTCCAGCGCCTCCAGCGCCGCTGCCTCCGAATCCTCCTGCGGAAGAGCCTCCAAAACCTACTCCAGATGAACCTCTAGATCCTCCTGATGAGCCACGGGACGAACCACCGAATCCGCTACCGGATCCTCCAAAACCAGTGCCAGCTCCTCTTCCGGAACCAGTACCAGCTCCTCCAAAACCACTGCCAGCTCCTCCGAAGCCACTGCCAGCTCCTCCGAAGCCACTGCCAGCTCCTCCGAAGCCACTGCCAGCTCCTCCGAAGCCACTGCCAGCTCCTCCGAAGCCACTGCCAGCTCCTCCGAAACCTCCGCTGGTCCCCCTTCCAAACCCACTTCCCGAGGAGCCTCCAAACCCGCTGCCACCGAAGCCTCCTCCTCCAGATCCCACATTGGGAGTCCCGTAGGACGTAGACGGGCTTTGGGGCAGTGATGCCACGGCGGCGATCACGCCACAGAGTACCAATTTCTGAAAAAAGAGAGAAATATCAGTGAAGTAAATGAATAAATCATTTTACGCAACACCTGTTTTCATGTGATTGAGGCACACTTGTTTTACCGAAATCATGACCGTTGGAAGATGGAGTCGAACTGAATGAAGAGCAGAAGGACTAGACGCTTATATACCATGTTCCATCCCAACGCCTTTCACTCTCACTGCGCCGTCATTCAGCGTTTGGGAAACGACCTTGACTGAAGGAACTCACGGAAACAGGAACAGGAAGGTCTCTCCTCCACTTCAGAACTGACTCATATCTCAGCCCTTAACTAAGAATCTCGTTTACCGTGACTAACGGTAATGATGATTGTATAGGGTTTGTGATAGCTTTCTTTTCTTTATTTACTTACGAGTATATCAGCGGTACACGACCCTGAAACTTAGTTATTCCATAAGGTAAGGCAAGGTAAACAACGTAATGTGCACGACTCGAAATGCTGGATAACCTTATAAGATTAAAAAAAAAAAAAAAAAAAAATGCACATGGGAAAATAATGATTGCTTCAGACATACGTAGGTCCATTTGCTCTCACAGATTTTCACGCTAATGTGAAGGACTTTTCTTGAAAAAAGTAATTAATCTAATTAATCTCGATATTTGATCTGCAGCAGTGATCTTTATTATTATTATTATTATTATTATTATTATTATTATTATTATTATTATTATCATTATTTAGAGTGACGTCTGAAATCACATTGAATCGAAAAATCTATTTTTACTTTTATTCTGCCTATATCAACCCCTCCCCCCCTATTGATATACACCCATTACCTTACCCACAAGAAAAGCGTGAGTTTGGAACAGAATCATGGTCAACTTGATCATCAACCTACAAGTACACAGAAAAATTGCCAAAAATTCTACAGACCAAAACGTCATAGATGTAGCAGTTATGATGTAACAGTTATGACACAATTTTCTCTCGCAAGTAGATGTGTCTCCTTGCTCTAGATGGAGACTCACGACATACGGGACTCGCCTTGACTGAGTCTTTTTATGTCAGCAGGTATTCGCTTCGTTATGTTACCTTACGCATTATTATATATCATGATATTTTATCATTGTACTCATCTAGCAGTTTTATGATTATTTTCTCATGGTTTGATCTTTTTTTATGCGTTTTATATAAATGCATATCCTTGTTGTGTGTGTGTGTGTGTGTGTGTGTGTGTTGTGTGTGTGTGTGTGTGGTGTGTACATATGAATCTCTCTCTCTCTCTCTCTCTCTCTTCTCTCTTCTCTCTCTCTCTCTCTCTCTCTCTCTCTCTCTCTCTCTCTCTTCTCTCTATATATATTATATATATATATATATATTATATATATATATATATATATATTATATATATCTCTCTCTCTCCTCTTCTATCTTCTCTCTCTCTCTCATATATATATATATATATAATATATATATATATATATTATATATATATATTATATATATATATATATATAATATATATATATATTATTATGAATTAGGAAAAAACCACACTGTTGTTGTGTGTGTGTGCATATAAAATATATATATTTAATATATTATTATTAAAATATATTATATTATATATATATATATAATATTATTATATATATATTATATTTATTATATAACAATATATTGCGCATTAATTATATAGATTTAAACCAGATTATTGACCCCACAAACACCACACACCAAATTTTATATATTATATATATATATAATATATATATATATAATTATATAAAATATATATATTATTAATATTTATTATTATTTAATTATATGCATAT